AAAATAACATTTATTTATTAATTAAAACGTTATGAAAATCATATAGGCTATTAAACATCGTGTAGTTCTTATTTTTCTAAGAAGTAAAACTTACGTTACCCAAACATCAACCTCCTTGCAATTTAGCAAGACATATAGTTCAGCTGCATCTTTCTCCTCCAATGTTAAACATCGTGTACGTGAATGGCCCCCTATTGATTCACCAGGGGAACAGAATACGGATAACTTACCTGGAACATTGGTTCCAATGCCACCATAGTTCCTTAGAGGCTGATTCCAGCTTGTCTCCACATCATCCCCAAAATAACGAGAGCAAAAGTGGGATATCTCGTATAATATAAATGCCTCAACAATTGATGCCTCGACATGATTTTTATTCCCTATGGTACTCTTAAGTTTGCGCATGCGCCTGAAAAGAAATACTGATAAGATTAATTTACAAAAAAGTAATTAAAAGTAAGTTTTAAAATTATCAATCAATTTCTTTGTATGTTTTACCTTTTAAATGGATACATCCAACGAAATTGAACAGGACCACCAACTCTGGCCTCATATGGAAGATGAATTGCTAGATGTTCCATAGAATCAAAAAATGCTGGGGGGAATATTATTTCTAACTTACAAATTATTTCAACAATCTTTGCCTCCCACTTCTGCATCTCAGTAACTTTAATGACCGGGGAACAAAGTGAACGAAAAAAGTTACTAATGTCAGTCAAAGGACCCCAAATAGCAGATGGCAATAAACCGCGAAAAGCAGCTGGAATTAGTCGTTGCATAAAAACATGACAATCATGACTTTTCATCCCAAATAACCTGGACTCATTCAAGTTGACACATCTTGATATGTTGGAAGCAAACCCATCTGGAAAGCACAACTATTTTAGCCATGCACATAAAAGCTTTTGTTTTATCAGATGTCAGTGCATAACTAGCATTAGGTTTCACAAGCTTACCATGCGTATTATATCCCATGTGCAGTTTTCTTCGGTCACAATAAATGGCTAAATCCAATCTTGCTTTCCCATTGTCTTTTGTCTTATTATCATTCATAACAGTGTGTATTATACTATCAAAGAAATTTTTCTCACAGTGCATTACATCAAGATTATGTCAAATAAGATTATCATGCCAATAAGGAAGTTCCCAAAAAATGCACCTTTTCACCAAATTATGGATGTTCCCAAAACCCTCAATTGTTTGGTTTTCAAAGGGTTTCCCAAACAACACATCAGGAAGGTTTTCAACTCGGTGACGCATTGAAACACCATCCAATCGAGGAGGGGGACTGCCTAATTCAACCCGACCCTTCAAGAAATTACTCTGATCAAATCTAAAATAATGTGATTCTGGTAAAAAATGACGATGACAATAAAAAAAACATGGTTTTCGACCATTTTGAAGATAAAAAGATTGTGTCATCTCCATACAATAAGGACATGACAATTGGCCATGAGTGCTCCAACCTGCCACCATACCATAACCTAGAAAATCAGTTATGGTCCACATCAACATAGCCCGCATTATAAAGTTTTGCTTACGATAACTATCATATGTTTCTACACTAATTGACCATAACATTTTCAATTCTTCAATTAAAAGTCAAAGGAATACATCGATATTTTTGCCTGGGTTTTTTGGACCAACAATGACCAATGTAAGAAAAGTAAACTCTGATCGCATGCACATCTCTGGTGGCAAATTATAAACAGTTAAAAAAACTGGCCAACAAGAGTAAGAGGTTGAAGAATGAGCCCATGGGTTGAAACCATCAATAGCAAGACCTAATTGAACATTACGAGGTTCTCTTTTAAAGGAAGGATGCATTTGATCAAAATGTCTCCATGCTTCTGATTGTGCTGGATGAATGACCTCATTCGTATCACCACAACATTTCAAATGCCATGTCATGTGCTCAGCTATTTTTCAAGACATGTATAGCCTTTGAAGGCGAGGTGTTATTGGCAAGTACCAAAGAGAATTCCTTGGAATGTCCTTTTGTCTATTCCTCCCTTGATTTCTCTGTTTATACCTCGCTTCTCCACAAATTGGACATGTAGTCAATGTTTTTGTATGTTCCCCATAGTATAAAAAGCAGTTGTTAACACAAGCATCAATTTTTAGATAACCTAACCCAAGCCCCTTCATATATTTTTTTACTTCATAAAAATTTGAAGGAACTTTTTCTTGATCTTCAGCACTTAACAACCTTCTACATCATTTGAGAATGGCATTAAAACCATTAGCAATTATATTATTTACAGTCTTTGTATGCAACATATAAGAAAGCCAACTAAGCACTGTCTCATTTTTGTTAGCACTACCAAG